ATAGAGAGGGAAGTTTTTCGCAAAAAATTTACTGGTATAGATTCTGCACTCCTATTGTACATACATAAAAAGAAAATAGATATTTGTAACATAGGTACTATCATATAAAAATGACTATATTGAATTTAGGTCGTTTGTTTTTGAGAATGTGCGTTATCAGAATACGAAACGAAGATTTTTGTTATTTTTCTCTTTGTCTTCTCATAGATTCTAATGCTAGAATAGCTTGCATCCTAGTTGTTTGTTTTCGCATGTCTAAGATAAAAGATATGTGTAATGAACAAGAATGATAAACAAAAAAAAGGATAATTAGATAATATAATGTGAATATTTTTGTATTAATATTGTACTCGTCTGAGGAACATATCAATTGAGTACAATTCATTTTTCTTAACAATTTCGGTGTCAGATTTTAAAAACTATGTCTCTCTTATCTGTTCAAATTGCTACATATATTCTTGAAAAGTAGAAAAACAAAATCAAAATGAGTCTCGAAGCTTATGAAATATATATAATTGAAATTAATTCGATTTTTCTTTCGCAATAAATAGATAGATGAGCCATTGACATTATAAATATGATCGTTCGATCGTTTCACATGCATCTACAATTTCGATAAACACACTACCAATCTAAAGATGAACTCTTATTCAGTTATTCGCTTTCGGTTACCAATCTAATAACTATCTACTATAACTGAAGAGAAGAAATACATTGTAAATGATACATAACCAATAGGGTCATTAAAAAAATAAACTTTGTAGAAACGTTAAATAGTCGATATACTCTAATATTCTAAAGAGATGACGGCTTATGACAACTAAAAGAACATTGTCACGTGAAATCGCAACAAAATTAACTTATAAAAACAGTTGTTTCTTGTATTTTAATTTTTCAATAGTAAAATCTATTTTTAAAGTTACTTTTCTAATTTTGAACGAAATCAATGAATGCAGACAGAAACATAATGATTTCTGCTCCTTTAGTATCAATAGAGAAGGCTCAATAACTCTTACATAATGCAGTAGATTCTATTTAATTAACATGGTTTCGTTGTTGCCAAGATGATGAAAACAAGAACGTGGTTAATATTCTGTTGTATGACTATTACACAGCCGACATTGTTTTTTTTTGTGATTATAACATCTTCAAAAGTTAGAAAAGATTATTCATGTCGAGATAATTAACACAATTTCTATGATCGCAAGCATAGCTAATAGAAATAAGACAGAAAAAATATGGTAAGAGATCAACTCGAATGTTCTTTTTGATTTGCTTGTTTGAAAGTTTGTCTCTTTGAAGAAAAAATAAAACGACCTTTAAACAAAGAAAAATTAATATTTTTGTTTGGTTAAGCTTCTGTTGAGAATTTAGCTTTTCCAACAATAGTTCTCAGCTTTCGTGAGGACTGTTTTTGTCTTAGTGTACCTATTACGGTGTTAACTTTATTTCTTTTGTTTATGGAACATTTCTTATGTAAGAAAACGAAAAATATTTTATTTGAATCGTTTTTCAACAATTAAAAAGAAACAGCAACAGTTTCAATGAGTAAAACTATAATAACGGCTTGGGAAACACTAAAATCAATGGAACTCTAGGTTTTAAGCCGAAAAGATCAGATTTCAATATTTTCATCGATTTTCACTTGATAAAAATAGTCACTTTTATTCTACGTTTCCATCAAAATTTCTTATATAGATTCTCAGCTCGAAACTAAAAGCAATAAATTGGTTAGTAGACATTTTCGCTTGTGCAAACTGTAGTTAATGAATGATAGTCTTCAAGAAGTTGGAATACTCATGAATGCATTTTGTTTTTCCGTTCAATAACTTATTCAGCCTTATTTCGCTCGTGATTACTATGATCATAAACTTTTGGCACATGTAAGTCGGGTCAGATCGAACTATCAAAAACAATCCCTGTTATGGACCGAATTGGCTGAATGTCATCTGGGAAATACAATCGACAACAAAACTGAGTATCATAAATAATCGTCAATATATGATTCTTTTTACCAACAACAAAGATTATACGACTGATTTTAATAGTCATGATTTGTCTCATTTTTCTTTTCTCGGTTATATTATTTTTCGAAGAAAGAAACATTGCCTAGATATTTCTAGAAACAAATTATTACATCATCGCTTCCACAAATACTTCTTAAGAGTTGAAATCAATTTTTTTTTGTTTTTAACAATCAAAACCGTCGATCTCTAGTAATAGAAACATAGATCTTCATTTCAATAAATTTTAAGAGACTAATCCGTTTGAATGCGGCAGAAATTACTGAACATTTGCCTTGCAAATAGGTACAAGCGCCGCTCATATAGGGCAATTGTCTGACCGAGCAACTAGGGAATAATAAGACTTCTTTGAGAATTCTTCACTGAGAAATTGTGAGAAAATATTTTCAAAGGAGCCTTGACACCTTATGCATATTACTTATCGGAACCTTCGCTACAGCAGTATAAGATTTCGTGCGGATGTTTTCAAGAACAAACTATAGTATGAATCCTTGCAGGGCAAATCCTAATCGTAACCAGGATCTTGGTCGGAAAACATGAGGATTTGCTTAGAAATTTTTACAATGTTCTCCTCGTTATGTTGAAACTTCTCAAGGAATTTTCTTTTTCTAAGTTCAAAATGCTGGATCTGATTTTGAATGTGGATGCGGATGTGGGTGGTTAGGATGGTTACGTGAGTGTGAGTGTCGGTAAAGAGAAGATGATCACCAAATTCTACACTAACCTACATCCACAGCCAGAAAGCACATACTACGGAGAGCCGTGGAGACATTTTTTTGTCAAATGAAATTTCGAAATAAAAGATGAATTCAAACTAAAAAAGAAATGCGACGGAGTCTTTCAGAGTCGTTCATGTAATTGTGTTTCAAGATAGAGATCCAACAAAAAAATCAAATCTATAATCTTATAGCTCGAATTTCGCTCTATGATTTGAAATATTTTTCGGTCTTATAATTAGATTGAGATCTATTGAAGAAACCTTCATTACATCCCTTCAATGTTACTGAAGAAGAAAAGGGTATGAATATTTTTTTCGAAAAAAAATTTGTTCAGTTCGTTCGTGACAACTCGCGATAGATACAACATAGAAGACTGAAAGTTGGAATTTATTAGCATTTAAAACTGTTTTCGTTTTCGATAAGAGCAAACCGGATCGGTTTTATCCCTATTCTAAACCATCCTCATTCCTTCTAGTAAAGTTCGACTTCTTGCAGCTCTTACCTTTCTTTTGTGGTCCATGTTTTTCGTCAAGCATCACTTGCCAACGTGGTTGATCAGAGAAGGTCAATTGAATTAAATTCCCGTCATTATATAACGACTGCAGTTGTGCCATTCCATCGTCGATTATTTGACTATCGTAAAACTCCAAGTGAGTCAGCGTATTGCGTTCTTTCGAAGCGTGAAGAAGTGCTTCTATAAGTTCAAGCGAGATAATTGATGCAGATATACATAGACGTGAAATGAAATCATAATTTCTCAATGATTTTATCAAATGAGTTTCTTTCAGACTGGATGATCGTATATTCTGAACATGCAAACTGACATATTTGATTGATTTGTGGTCTCTCAATGTGTCCAGAAGATTAATGAGAAAAGTTTCGTTTTCGAGACCAATATGATCCAACAGATCGATTTCAACAAATGTTTTATTTTTCTTCAACATTTTACAGAAATGGGATAATATTGAAGGTTCGCACAGTGAATGAGTCATTTTCAGTTGATGTAGTGTATTTCTTTTCAAAGTGAATACAGTATTGAGGAGATCGATGTTGTTACAATGCTCTACAATCAGTCCTGTCAGAACTTCATTCGATTCAAGACACTGTTGAAGATCATTTTCATGCCAGAGAAATTCCCATGCACACAGATCTATTTTTCGATGTACCTTGTTTTGTAGCAAAAGTCTGGTGAGTATCTGGGCACTTCCATCTTGATAAGTGTCAGAGAAACGAACTTTAAATGTTTGATTATTGAATTCTGTGACCATATATTTGCAGACATACTTTAATATTTGGGAGCGGTTGTGAACACGAACAGCGATCATGTTGAGGGAACGCATCGAAGAGCGGTTAATGATGACCCCAAGCAATATGTCGAGATCATCCTCATAGAACGAACATTTTTGAAATGCCAGCTTCACAATATTAAAACCTTTTTTGAGAGCTTCACACAGCATCTTAACGTTTTTGCTAGTCACATTCACTTGACTTACAACTGCTTCGTTCGTCCTTTCATTGAATATGCCTCCCATGGCTACAAAGTCACTAATATATTTACGCATTTCATTACTGAAGCTAATGGCATCGTAGTGTTTGAGACAAACCCAGAGAACATGGCCATCAACGGTGACTGCTCGATGTAAGTTACCGAGGCTACTTTCACTGTCGACAAGTTCTAGATATGTTTCAAGTTCACATAATTCTGCGCCCGGAAGTGGCATTGCTCTCNTCAATATTAACAGGTTCTCGTTTTATTTCTATCACAACGCTTTTTACGAGTTTTTCGACATCGACGGACTTAAATAGACACTTGGCGATAGCCTCATGAATTACGATATTATATTATTGATGAAATACAAATAACCAATGCTCATTGTCTCCTAATTGATGACCTATTCATTCCAAGTTATTAGAATACCCGTGATAAGCAGAAAAAAAGCGTTGTGATAGAAATAAAACGAAAAGCTGTTTACATTGACAATATTGGAACTATCTTAATATATATGGATCCAGAAATATCTCGTCTTCCTGGCATGTGGTAGTTGGGAAAATTTCATCTTATACTAAGTAGACGATGCTGAATAATATGCACGTCTTAAAATTCTGCTCAACACACTTTCATTTTTTTTTTGCCAATTGTACAACAAAAATGCGATTCTCTCATATATATCATAGATATATTGAAGTATATAAAACTAAATATTTATGAACAAATTTTAATTGAGAAAATATTGAAGCTAAAACATATTTAAAACAAATGATCTATTATCCAAAGGTACTTTTTGACACGAATGAATGTGAAAGAGCTTAAGTTCGATCGTTTCTTAAAATTGTCCAATCTTATTCATGCACAGTAGTGACATCCATGTCGAAATAAAATCTTTCTTTTGATTTCAAATCTTAATAACTATATTGAAATAACTATATAGAAATTATATTTGATTCTCAGATTGAGAAAGTTTGAAAAATTTCTTGAACTATATCATAACTCGTAATCAATTATCAAAATTGGTGATTAAACGTGATTTTATCGCTCCGATTTATCACCAATTTTTGAAAATCGCTTCTTCTCCTATAATCGCGATAAAATACAATATAATCATCGTTTTTTAGCGAAATACGATTAATCACGATTTAACGCCGAATTTTCGCTAATTCGTCAAAAGGGCGGCAATTTTCGGGACATGGGCAAATATTCTTCAAAAAATACAGCAGAATACTTAATAAAAATTATTTAACTTACTTCGTGTTTGAACTAGAACAAATTCATTACTGACATATGCTTGGACATCATTGCTATGATGTACGATTTCCTTTGTCTCTTTATCTTTTACAAATTTAAAAAATAACACAGTTTTCGAGCGGTCATCAAAACGAATAACACACAGCATAGAATGATGATCAGCAATAGAAAGCCAACGAAAAAGCTGTTTTGTCATTAAAATTTCGATAGTTATCTTATAGCTCAATTTATTACTTCTTTAGCTATTGCTTTGAAATCCGTCAGACACATATTTCTTCTTCTTAAAACTAAATAAATGGTCTATGAAATAAGTTGGAGTGTCTTGAGCACAGGAAGGGAGACACATTGAATAGGAAATCGGATCATGTATTATTCTTCTAATTATTGCAACTATCGATCTGATATTGTGTATAAATGATTGCCATATAGCTTTAATTATCTGTGTTTACCTAACTTTCCTTAGTCATAAGATTCATAAGAAATGAAGTTTCCCACTTGTGAAATCTAGTTATTATGAGAACAACAAAAATATTCAGCAATCTCTCCAGAAATATAATGTTTAGGATTTTATATTGATTCCTGTTCATTGTTGTCTCTAGATGCTTATATGCACCATTATGGCAGACGAGAATAGGTTTGGTATTCATACTAAGAGAATAATGAAGTTTGTGTAGTTATGGATTCAAATTATAATATTTTTCAAAAATGATTTTTCACATGATGCTATATTATAGATCCATGAAAACTGCTGTTATTATTATGTTATACTCATTAATATCGACGCCTACCTGAGTGGCCGATAATAATCGTTTGTTTAAGCTGATCTTAACTATTGTGAAACCGTCGAATCGTTAGTCTCCATGTACTGAGTGAAAATGAGAGTTGCTGTAAATACTTTAAATGTATTACACTTGTCAAGTATGTTTAGATAATAATTACAGTATTTTTTATGCCTTTATATATAGGCTTGTTCACGAGAGTTTTTTCAAGTTTTCTTTCTTTCAAAACAAGCATAATCTTGTTTCGCTGTTGTTATTGCGAAGTTCACCATATGAATTACTCAAATTAATTTATTTTTATTTGTTAAAATTACTTTTAAATATCTGTTCTCTGTATTATCTAATTCATTGATATACTTTGTTCTCCATGTTGATCGGCTAAAATACTGGCGCCATCTATAACCAACTTAACGGGCAAGAACTGTAGTTTTTTTGAGAATGAAGATTATAAAAACGAGTTATTGAAATAAAAATTGTAGAAATATCGATCAAGACGTCTTCGAGAAAATTCCTTTTATGAAATGTCCCAATTCCGATTTTGATTAGTCAATTTATAGAACTACTTGGAAAAATCTGCTCAACTACCCCTTTGTCTGATTATGTTTGTTAGTATTCATTGTCAATCATTGAAATATTTAGTTTGAAACAGTACGACAGCTCCCAAGTCATCTCAGACAAGTGTCGAGTTAAAACAGGAGTTTTTTTTTATCAGTCTTGTAAGTTCCTACATATTGTATATAATTCGATAATGTAAGTCTTGTTTGTTTTTATTGAAACGAAAGTATTCTTATGAAATAATGTTTGTTTAGGAAACGTCATCATGAAGATAATCCTTATTCGTCGACTGATAATGGTGGAGACGATGTAACAAGTCATTCAATGCCAAAACGAATAGCAACAAGAAATAGTTCTCAATTAAAGTATGTTTTTGAAAAAATAGGGATTGAATTTATTAAAAAATAAAATACCATTTATTTATAGTTCAACAAATACTTTTTCTATTGCTGCAAATTATTCTCCACCAAGTTCAACGGGATCCGATTCATCGTCATCAACAAACTCGACGTCTTCATCGATTCCAATTCATTCTCAGTTATGTACATGTCCAAATATAGATTGTGTTATTCACGATCGTCGACGTTCAACAAATATCCCTGTAGAATTAACATCAAGTTCAAATCCAACTTATGGAAATAATAATCTATTACTTTATTATGCACATCTAGAACGATGTCGTCGACATGGTCAAAATATTCACCAAGATACATCTTCATCTTAAAAAATATCAATTTTTTTATTTATTTGTTTCTTTATGTTTTTTTCTGTAGTAGCTCATGCTAAAACGAAAAAATATAATCCCATGAACAAAGTCGAGATTCTTTTTCTTTTGCTTTAAAATTGTAGATATTTAAATGGCAACATTGAATACTCCTTCGACAACATTAAGTGACCCATCCAGACTCGATGATGGATTATTAGAAACACGAAAAATTGATACTATTTGTTTATTTGATGTCGATGGTACGATTACTATGCCAAGACAAGTAATTATAAATAGAAATTAATTTATTAAAAATCTTTTGTCCATTTTTTGTTCTAGGTAATAACAGCTGACATGGATACAGATCTTCAAAAACTTCGAAAGAAATGTCTCGTTGGTCTTGTTGGTGGATCAGATATTGCTAAGATTGCTGAACAAATTGGTGGTATTCAAGGTAAATCATTATTTAGATTTGACTTATTTAGATGTATTATTTGTGTTTAGCTATAGCTAAATATGATTATGTCTTTGCTGAAAATGGTCTCGTAGCTTTTAAAAATGGAAAAAAATTTTTTGAAGAAGTTTGTTAATTGAATTCGAGTTGTTTTTTCTGTCAAATTAATTATTTTTGTAGAATATTCAAAAACATGTTGGCGAAGATAATTTACAAACATTTATTAATTATTGTTTAAAATATTTATCTGATATTAAATTACCATTTAAACGGTAACTTTTCTATTTTCTTGTTTAAATATAATTTGAAAATTTTGTCTAATTAGTGGAACATTTATTGAATTTCGTAATGGTCTTATTAATGTTTCACCAGTGGGTCGAAATTGTACGAAACAAGAACGAGATTTATTTGAAGTATATGATTTAGTAAGTCGTTTAGTTTTTATTCTATTATTTAAAATTAATAAAATAAATCTAATGAAGGAACATAATATTCGTCGTACAATGGTCAATCATCTTCAAGAAAAATTTTCTGATATGAAACTTTACTTTTCCATTGGTTTGTTTTTATTTTATTTCTTAAAATAATTTCGTTTCTTTTAATTGGTTTTCTTTTAAGGTGGTCAGATTAGTTTTGATGTTTTTCCCGAAGGATGGGATAAACGATATGCATTAAAACATTTAGAAAATGATAATATTTCCAATGTTTATTTTTTTGGTGATAAAACATTTAAGGTAAGTTCGTTTTTTTATTTATCAAATAGACAAATATTATTGATTAAAAATACAATTATTCATTTAATAATTAATCTCGATGCATTTCAAAGTACTTGTTCTTATTCGATTAATTTTAATGTAAAATAACTAAATATTAGTTAATCATTAGATTTTATAGAAACATTTTTATCTTGCATCAATTAAATACCAGTTGACCATTTTTAGTTAGTATTATGCTTTAACATTATAAGAATGTGTCAGCTCTTTATAGATCTGAGTGATTAAGATCAGTTTATTCATGTTTAGACAAACTTTAAAAGATTTCAATAAGAATTTAATTTATGTCAGAATATGATTGAATATTTCAAAATATTCATGTCAAACCTTTTCTAAAGAAGATTATTAAATTCTTAGCCATTCAGATCAATAGATTTCTGCACAATGATCGTAGACTATTCATCTTAATATTGACAAAAAGTTGAATATTGATCCAATATTTCAATACATTTTGAAATAATCAAATGTTTTTTATTTATTCATGATAGATGTTTATAACTGAACAGGTTTTGCATCGATCTTGGAATTACAGATGTTTTATATTATAAAACAGATTCTGGATCATGTTGATCAGTAAAAATAAATAATCCTAAAGTAAATATTTAGTCTCAATATTAATAATTTGTTTCTTAGAAAAATCTTTATTGTTATTTGATTATAAAAATTTTGAAGAACAAGTATTTTAAATAAATCGACATTAAATATTTATGAATAAAGAAAAACTTGATCGTTTAATAAAACTAAAAGTTGAGTTATTATGTCTAGGGTGGCAATGATTATGAGATTTATAGTGATCCACGAACAAAAGGTTATTCGGTAACAAGTCCACTGGAAACACGTACTATTCTATCTGAATTATTCGGATTGTGATATCGATTTTATTTATTGGGCTTCTTTTATTGATAATTGTTTCTTCATATTTATTGTTATTATGTAACTAACCAACTATTAAGCAAAAAAAAAAAAAGAATATTAACAAATCTCGTTTGCTACAATTTAATTAATTTAAAATTGAAAGTAAATTAAGATAGAAAAATTGTTTTTCATTTGTGTTTCTTATTACGTTTATTTTGTGATTCTTGTTTGAGAATACATGATGATCTTCCACGATGCCCGATACGTTTTTTTGTTTCGTGTTCAACAGTTTTCAGTTGATTACCTTCTAAAATACCTCCAACAGGTATACTTCGTTGAATATCTTGAATATACCATCGAGGCATAAAATTCGAATGTCTTGGATTCGATCTTTTTATTTGTGTATATCGAAATGGAACATATTCGGGTAAATCATATTGTAAAGGTTTTCCAGTGAGAGGATCAATATCTAATGGTTGCGGAATATAAGCAAATGCATGAATTGTATTTGGATCATCAATTAGAACTGTTTTTTGAATTAAATTAAAAAATGAATAAAGATAAGAAATACAATATTTAAGTCTAAGATCATATTTTGAAAGAAATTTTGAAATAATTTGATCAATTGAAAGTAAATCTATATGATCAATAATTCCATCATTTGCTGTTTTATAACCGATCATAAGTGTATTTATATTAGCTAACCACATTTGTGCCCACCAGTTAAGTGTTTGTAATTTATTTTCATCTCGATAAAAAATTTTTTTATTTGTACATTTCAGTTCAACATAACCAGATTTTATTTCATTTTCATTTCGTTTTTTCTTTTCAATTATTTCATTTTCATCACTTTTGATTAATTGAAGATTTTCATTTATTTGAATTTCTTTTAATTTATCTTCATTTTCTTCAGATGATTTTTCCATTTCGACAGCTATTTCACTTTCCCACCAATCCATTTTCACAGGTTTTCTTCTATAAATAAGAATTTACTTTCGAAAACAGACTATTGCATATAAGAATAACTTACTCGGTATTTTCTGTTACTGTTACTTCTGTTGTTGTTGTTGCCGTTGGTGTTATTGCATCATCTTGCTAAACATAAATTTCGTTTAAGAACAAACTTAGTTTTTATATAAAAAAAGAAGAGAAAGAAAATAAAAGAGATATACTTGTTTAACGGTATCTGTCGTTTCCGTAGTTGATGTTTTTTGTTGTGTATCACATTTTATTTCTCCATCAATTTCATTTGAATAGAGTATATTAAATTCTCCAAATTGCCAATATTGTACTGTATGAAATTGTTGTTGAGGTTTTTCTAATGGAATTTTTTCTTCAAATCTACTTGTATTTGGTTGATCTGTTGTGAATAAAGCTTCAAATTTATAACCACTATATTGATCCATAGTCATATCTTCAACTAATTTTGTTTCCTTATTAGCTAAAGCTAAATAAAATTGTCCTTTCATACGTATAACAAGTAATTTCCATGGATCAGAATCACAATAAAGATTACTTAAAATAGTTCGTAAAACTAATCGACGACAAATAAATGTTGGTGGTTTTAACATGTTTGGATTAGTTGAAGAAAAAAGATATTGTTTATTTGAATACCAATTAAGTAATGGACGAAGATCAAGTGCATCAAATGGACGAAAATAATTATCTGGATTTAATTGAGATTTTTCAATAAATTCTTTATAACCTCGATAAACATCATAAGAACATTTATCACGTTTTTCTGGAATATGTACAAAACGTTTAAATGATTTATCAAACTTATAAATTGGTTGAGCAAGTGAAGCATCAAATGATATATGACCGATATCACGACGAAGACGTGACCAAGTTTTTGGTGGTTGACGTTCATAATCAGATCGAAATAAACAAGGACCCTGGTTACTTGATGAACTTTGACTTTTTATTATATCATATAACTGTGGTGGCTCTTGTTCTAACAATATCTTTGAATTTGTTAAATCTTAAATAAACACAAAACAAGAAAAACATATTTTATTGATCCAACAAAAAAAAAACAAATAATAATTTAACCTCGATATGTTTGTTGTTCATTGAAATCATTTTGTATTTGTTCTTCTCCAATAGCAATTTGTTCATTGCCTTTAAATTGTAAATTTAAACCTTCAAGAGAATCTAATTGATGTTTATCATCATTTTTAATTGACATATGTTTACAACGATATCGACGAAAAGCTCGAGCACTTACTTCATCACTGTCAATAAGTAAATGTTCAAGTAAAACTTGTTTAGCATCAATTGGTGAATAAATTAAATTAATAATTTCTAAAGGAGAAAGATTTAAAATAATTGTTTTTAAATCTTGTAAAGACCATTGATAAAATAAAGATTGATCATCATTTCCAAAATTTTGTTTTATATCAAATGAATCAATTATTGTTAATAATTGTTGTTTTATATCATCTGATGATATACTTAGAGTTTGTTTAAATGAAAAATCAATTAAAGAAAATAATTGTTTACAATTTTCATCATCAATTGACAATCTTAAATGAAATTTATCAGGAAGAGAATATTGTTTATCTATATTATCAGGTAAACTAAGTAAATAAGAAACAATTAGATTTTCTTTTAATAAATCTAATGACCAATTTAAACATTTTAAATTCTTTGAGTCAAGTTCAATTTTAATTTCAGTTAAAGGAGAATATTCTTGAAAATATTTTTCAACAGGTAATGATATATTATATTCAGAAATTCCTTCAAGCCAATGAATTACAATTGGATTTTGAGGAAGACTTAATGTCGAATTTATTGAAGGAATATCAGCATCTATTTCTAATGATAATATATCTTCTGTATCCTTAACAAATAGATTTAATTTTTCATCTTCAGATCCAATAGCGAATTTTATCTAAAAAGAAAATAGAAGATAAAAAATAATGATTTACACAAATCCTTACATTATTTCGAAATTCATCTCCTTCAATAAAACTTCTTTGTGAATTATCCGTGTTTGTCTCTAAATCATGTTTATATAGTTGATCATATTGATTGCTTAAATTAAATTGAATAAATTGTTGATTATTATCATGTAAAGCCCATTGTTGTTGTTTATCTTGAGTATTTTGAATTGAAAAAGATATTTTATATTGTTGTTGATCATCATTCCATTTAAAAATTTCATAATCATCTTGTTCAATATTATTTTTCCATAATTGTTCAGACTTATTTTCAATATCAAAAATAAAATTTTGATTTATTTGATCATTAATTGATATTTGTTGATTATTTTCTTGTAATTGATTATCATCATAATGATATTTAAAATCATCGTTTGTATCACTTTTCCATATAAAATGACTTTCTAAATCTTTTTCAATTAAAGCTTGAGCTTCTTGGTCATCAACATCAACTAGATTTTTATTTTGGTTTTTTCGACGAAATCTTGGAACTAATTTTCTTTCTTTTTGATTATTAGATAAATCCATATTGAAACTTTATGTTTTTTTTTTCACAAAGTGGCAAACTCTAAGAAAGAGCACGGCTTATTATTGACATGTTATTGCAAAATAATATTAGAAAGAATGAAACAACGGTATTGACTCATTTCAAATAACAGAAAGAAAAAGTATAATAAAAGACATGCTTTCGTATGGATGTTTTATTATGAAATTATTTTATGAAATATAATTAAAAGAAAAGTTAATTCGATTGAATTATTTCAGATAAAAAAAAATGTCACTTGCTGATGAACTTCTTGCTGATCTGGAAGAAATGGATGGAGGCCAAGGCCTCTCAAATAATGATAAAAATAATCTAAAAGATGATCAATCAATGGAAGTTGATCAAGTATCTCCTGCAATTAAATCTTTACCAAATAATAATAGTGTTCATGCTGTTGCCAAATTAAAAGATTCATTATTACTTAAAGAAACAATGAGAAAAATTGATTATTATACAAAACATCAACGAAAATCTACAGCAGAAATTCAAGGTCCTGTTGAACATGATCCAGAATATTTACTTATTGTTGATGCTAATAATTTACTTGTGGAAATTGATAATGAAATTGATATTATTCATAATTTTGTTCGAACGATTTATTATAAAAGATTTCCTGAATTAGAACAACTTGTTCAATTATCAATGGATTATCTTAAAACTGTTCAGGTAATTTATTTTAATTTTATTAGAATAGAAAAAAAACGATATTATTTTCACTGAATTTTAAATAAGAAATAAACTAATCAAACTGAATATTCAAATATCAACAGAAGATTTTTAAGAAAAATTTATTTATTTATTTTGTTTTTAGGAATTAGCTAACAACGTTGATCGAGCAAAAATGAATGAAAATTTACAAAAATTTTTAACACCTGCAACAATTATGATTGTTAGTGTATCAGCTTCTACAACTCAAGGGTATTTATTCATTCGATTTATTCATTTAGTTAGTTCAATTTTCTTTGTTTTAGAAAAAATTTAACTAATGAAGAATTAGAACGTGTTATGGAAGCATGTCAAATGGTTTGTTTGTGTTTTTTTTATTATATATTTGTTTAATAATATTCGACATTGGTTTTTTTAATTTTTTAGGCAATGAATTTAAGTGAAAATAAACAAACAATATTGTCATATGTTGAATCCCGAATGACATTTATAGCACCAAATCTATCGATTATTGTTGGAGCATCAACAGCAGCTAAATTAATGGGTATGGCTGGTGGTTTAACTAATTTAACTAAAATGCCTTCATGTAATATTTTATTACTCGGAGCGCATAAAAAACTTCTTGGAGGTTTTTCATCATCAGCAGCTATGCCTCATGCTGGTGCCATTTTTTACTCGAAAATTGTTCAAGATTGTCCACCGGTTTGTTCTGTTAAAGTTAACTTCTATTTTATTATTCAGTTTATCTTTTTATTATGAAAATATTTCAACAACTCCTACAAATTTTTCATTATTCATTTCAGAAAATGATATTAGGATTTTTCTATTAGATTCTAATTTTATCATTAAACATCTTGAAGTTAGTTCCAAGTCTCATACGTGTCCAATTGAAATAATGACAAATATTAAAAAAAGATAATTTTCTTCAAGTTTTTTAGTAAGATTTACACAGAAGATTTTCATTTTTATTTTTCTCTTCTATAATACAAAGAGATAAACGATTTATTTTAGAATTATCATATCAAACTTATACATAATGAATTAAAAACAAAAATCTTCTCCATGAGATAGTTTCAATTGATGAGAATACTCGCAAACTACTTTTCAACTTTATCGATGTATCTTTATCAACATATGGCACGTTAAAAAAGTTATCATTTTCAGTGTTTCATTGAGATTTTCTCTTGTACGGAGGTGATCTAAAACTTTGCCAGACGGAACACCTATTTTTAGGAGCGCTGATACCTAGTACATTTTAAAATACCGAAAAACTCCGAAAGAGTCAACTAAATTCTTGGAAGAGAAAAAAACCACACTGATTAAAATAAAGCTAAAATTTAAATAGAATAATGACAAATCTATCTTATTCAATCACAAGTCAAAATCATTTTCGAATTATTTTAGTTTCGTTATGTTATTTTTATATTTAAAAGATAAACTGAAAAAGAAAAGCTCAAACTTGAAAATATTTGTTGATTATATAAATATTATTGTGTTTAGGATCTTCGAGTTCGAGTAGCACGTTTAGTGGCATGTAAAGTAACATTAGCTGCACGTGTTGATAGTTTTCATGAAAGTCCAAATGGTGAACAAGGAAAATTTTTATTAAGTGAAATTGAACGACGTTTAGAAAAATTACAAGAACCACCACCAGTTAAAGCAATTAAACCATTACTACCACCAATTGATCCTGGAAGAAAAAAACGTGGTGGAAGAAGACATAGAAAAATGAAAGAACGCCTTGGAATGACTCAATTACGTGCTGAAGCTAATCAAATGAAATTTGGACAGGTTGAGCTATTTTTATATTATTTTAACTTGTTTTTTTTTTTTTTCTTAACTTTACTTTTTCTTTTATTGTTTAAGATTGAAGAAGATGCTTATCAAGATGCAATAGGTTTTTCAACAGGTATGATTGGAAAATCAGGTTCTGGAAAAGTTCGAGCAGCACAAGTTGATTCGAAAACAAAAGCAAAAATTTCTCAAAAACTTCAAGTTTGTTCATTTATCCTGTTTTCGTTTTTGTTATCATTTTTTTATTTTTTATTTAGAAAACTTTACAACGTCAAAATAATACATATGGTGGAACAACAACAGTACATAATAGAAAACAAATTAGTGGTACAGCATCTAGTGTTGCTTTTACACCACTTCAAGTAATAATATCATTCTTATTTTTGATTTTTATAATTTTATTTCTTTTTTCTTTAGGGTCTTGAAATAGTTAATCCAAATGCAGCTGAAAAAGATAAAACTGGAATCGAAAGTCAAAAATATTTCTCAAATACATTTGGTTTTACTAAAATAAGTCCATCAGTTATTCCAAAAACAACTTGATCTATTTATGTTTTTTGTAAATACATAACAATAGACTACATTAACAACAATTATTCGTTTTTCACACGACGTTTTTTTGTCTTCTTGATTATCCATCTTTAACATAGAAAATCTATTTGAATATTAAAATATTCAAATTGATTACTGTTTATATATTAAATAAAAGATTTATTATCAGGTGAGACATATCAAAAACATATTTCTAATCAATATTCAATTGAAGATCAACTCTAAAACTAGCAATTGTTTTCGAAAGAAATACATTAATTATTTATGAATACGATTAAATTTTTTATGCATTAGACTTGAAAACAATAAAACATGAATATTAAAATATTCATTTTTTAAAATATATCTTTTAGAATTGAACACAGTTTTTCAGTTTACTTCAAAGTGCATGGATAATCAACAGTGACTAATTCAAATCACAAAAGGAAGAAGCTGAACATCATAGTCCCCACTTTTGAAAAATCCTACCACCATTAAGCAGAAAATTGTTTGACGCTACTCGCCTGATGATGCCTTATCAATATAAACATTTCATTTTGAGATTTTAAATAAAGTTTATTCTAGAAAAACAAATCGTTGGAAAAAAGACACCAAACAAACAAATCAACAGAGGAAAATTCATGATGAAAATGATCATTGATTGTCACTTGAAAATCTGAAATTTTGTTTTGTTATTATGTGACATGTCGAGTCGAATTAAAATACAAGGCAATGAATTGCAAATCAGTTAAAATAAAAAAGAAAATTTAGAAAATAAATAATATTCGGTGATATTTATATGCATGGATACAATTTTCGATGAGACATTATTAATCAATGATGGAAAAATTCTTGTGAGAGAATATTCATTTATCAGATCTATTTTATTTGAAAATATCCGATTTTTCATTAAATTATATTATCTTATAAATGGTTTCAATGCTTTCATTTGTATTTTTATGTATTTTTAAGTGACATTGAAAAAAGTTTAATCAAGAAAAAGAAAAAAAGAATTGATGGATTCTTTTTTTTCGTATTTTGAATTTTATTGTGTTTGTGATGACGTTGGTTTCTAAATCGACGCATGACAAATAGTTACCATTTCTTATAAAAAAAGAAAAAAACAAACGACGTTATTTTATATTCATTATTTATTGTATCACATTGAAAAAATAATTCAAATAAAAAAATGATACTGAAAATAATTGTTCGTTATATAATTAATAAATATATGAAAGATTATATTGAAAAATTAGATGATGAAAAATTAAAACTTGATCTTAAGCATGGTTAAGCATTTTTATTTATTTATTTATTCATTCATTTCGATTTTCCATCATTATTTTATTTTAGGAAATGTTTCATTAGAAAATCTTCATTTGAAACCAGAAGCATTGGTTTGTTTATTTATTTATGTCATATTTATCACTTTAATTATATAAAAATCAGCTTTTTGAAATCATTCGTTTTTTTTTACAAAATTAAAAAAAATAATTGTCTGTTATAGGTTGGATTGGGTCTTCCTGTAACAGTAGCTACTGGTTTTATTGGTTAGATTCATTAATTAACATAAAACAATTCTTTTTATTTTTATTTTTCTAATTAGAAAAACTTTCAATTGCTATTCCATGGAAAAATCTTCAATCACATCCAACAAAAGTACAAATCGACGGATTCTATATGTTAATTGTACCAAAGAATGGTACGGTTTCTTTTTTCATAAAAAAGGATTTTTTAAATCAATTTTAAAAAATTTCGTGAACGTTTACAAAGAATGTTTCTGAAAAAAAATCGAATCGATTGTTCTATTTTGTTGAAATAGTGAATAAGAATGTGTCGATCTAAGCGTATTTTGTTCACTTTAAGTCGAATACTGTTTTAAGCTATTCTCAACATAGATTTTTCTGCATTCAGTTGTTCGTTTATCAAAGACTATAAAACTCGTCGAGGGTATTTTCAAATGAAACGATAACTACACGCTACAGCTTAATAGAGTTCGAGTTTTTCAATTATTTGGTTTATATTCAATAAACATCATTCTAAATTTTCAAACTGTGAGAATAACAGTTTCTAGAGAAATAATATAAACTAAATTTCAAATGTTTACCTCTATTAAGTTGTATCGACATATCTTGTCTTCATATGGATATCAACCCAATATGTTTTTCATTAGTTTTGGACAAGAAATCGTTGTCAAACATATATCTTTTTTGTTTGACCATTCATATTACTTAGGGGTATCCAAAAGTAGTGGCAACGACATTTTAGTACCACTTAGTAAGCTTGATAAGAGTTTGTTTTTACACAGGATGATAGAGAAAAAAATGCTCTTTCTTTCTATGCTATTTGATCATACTTCACATAATATAATGGTAATAAATTTTCAGTAAGATTCGTTTCGTTATCATTCGTGATCGTTATACTGGCTTATAACGAGTAAGACAGGTTAATTTTCCGTCCCTTAATACATTGCATCAATGATCGAAACACACCGTCAGATGCAGCCTGAAAAGCTCTACAATCTACATAAGAGCACTTATTCCATAGTTGTACTTTTTGTTTTCAAAATGGACAAAACTTTGAGAGATCAGATTTTGAGCATTGCAAAAATTGATCGCATAGAAATGTGCT